TTTATTTTATTAAAAATAATTTTTGTAACTGAAAGGCTGCCAAATTTTGTAAATCCATATAAAACATGGATTAAACTGATTAAACATTCTATATTGAAATTTAGGAGTATTAAATCTATAAAGACTTTAAATGAGTACAAAGAAGTCACGTGATCAGTCAGATTGACCGAGTCCATATTGAGAGAGTTAATGGTATATAAGTTTTAAGTTTTTAATTTTAAAAGGCATCATTTAAAAAATTCTAATTTCCCTTACTTTGAGAAATTTGAAATTTTTTTCTCTAGGTATCCCCTCTTCTCTAATTTATTCCCCACCCCCTCCAATAAGTATAAAATTTAATGTAAATTACTCATTATAATATTATCATTGCTCAGGCAAAGCATCATTTTCCTAACTTTCAATCTTGTGTGCTTACAGAGCCACAAATAGAAAATCATACCCTTCTTGACACACCCAAGTAAATAAAATGTATTTAGTGCACTTCTATCATTAGTATTTAAAAAAAAAGTAAGTTTAAGTGTCATTCGATAGTGAACAGCAAAAAAAAAAGAAGGTCCCATGTAAGTACTTTATTTCTTGTGTTTCATGTGTATTCTTTATTTATTATTATAAAAGTAACTAAAATGTAAAAATAGGAAACTGTAGGTTAGTTAAGGTAAAATAAATAACAATAATATTATAAAATTTCATGAGCATGCATGTGAACAGCTGGGAGTAGGTCGTGGGTAATGTAATTTGATAGCATAATGTGAGTCACACGTCCGCCAAGTGATTTATAACTTATAATGGTGTAAATAGTAGTTAGACATGGTTGAAAGAGCAATAAAATACAAAAATTTAAATATAAATAGATATATACTGTTACAAGTTGTAATGCTACTTTAGGATAAACAAATGTAGTTTCCATGTTACAATTTGAAATTGTTCTAATAAGTAAAAAAGTGTATTTTACATATATTTTGATTTATTTTTTTGGTGGTTATGAGGTCAGTCAAATTGCCCAACCATGTATAAAGCTAGGATAGAGAAAATAATAGATAAAATATAAAGTTTTACAGGAAAAATAACGTTTGAAATGTATTTAGGGTTTTTTAATGATTATGCAAATGAAGTTGGAGATTTTTGAAATAATGAAAAGTATTTTTAATCTTATCATGAAAATCACTTTACACTCGGACTGGTAAAAAAAAGACTGTATATATTCATGGACAAATCTTTGTTAAAAATATTTCACTAAAAATCTGATTTTTTGTATGTAAAAGACATGTAATGTTTACTGAAAGACTGCCAAATTTTGTGAAGATACATGTACTATATTAAAAGTTAGTAGTACCGAAACTATAACATGTACAAAGGGGTCACATGATCAGTCAATTGGACCGAGCCCACGTTGAGAGTGTTAAAATCTAGTTAGTAACTTAGAGTTCTTAACTACATTCGTGTACAGCAGCAGATTTGAAATAGTACCTTCTTTTATTGTAGACTAGCATATTTGAAAGTGTCTTGGTCATCTTATAGTTAATGTCAAGTGTATGATAACCATGGAAAATTCTCTGGCTAATGATTCCATGTCAGTAATTTTGTAAGAGTGTAATTTTAATACTGTAAAAGAATCCCTGGCCAGTGACTGTAAAAAGAGTAATTTTGAAAGATTCTCTGGCCACTATCTTCAGGCGAATAGCTTGGATGCTTTTAGAATGTAATTTAATAAAATACCTATTAGGAATTAACTCTGGTTGTGGCATTGTATCAAAAGATTAGGTTGTACTTTTTCCCCTTTGTCTTTTAAATCTATTTGTATATCAATAAAAAGCATTTTTTAATATTCATTAATTTATAACTTAGTCTTGCTACTTAAAAATATTAATATATATGTGTTATACTTATAGGCTGACTTGGTACACTTGGGAGCTAAATTTACTCCCTGTATGCGTAAAGACAAAAATATTTTTGATGCAGTTAAAAAAGATCGGGATAAAGAAAGGGATACTGCATGTTGTGTGCGAAACGATCAATCAGGATGTGTACAGACCTCACGCAGCAAATGCTCGGTAAGCTTTTTCTTTTTTTTTGATAGTTAATTGCTGTAGCTTTATGCTCTGTTATATCGGGTTATATTAGTAGGATAGTGATGAGTTTAATATGTGAAACAAAAAGTCCACAGAATAGACTATTTATTACTAAAACATAATATTTGTTCATAAATTATAACAAAATAAAAAGTCTTCAGTGTCTGGCATTTATCAAAGACATTTTATCATTTCTGCAGCCTATTTCATTAAGGTGAATATATATATAGATGTATAGATATATTTCAATGTTTAAACATAGGAAAAATTATTCTATAGAATATTAAAAAATTTTAAACTCTTTTTTTTCCAAGTGGCATACTTATTGTCCCTTCTTACCAAAATTGTGAATAGTTGTTAGATGAAGGGTATTTTAATACTGCAATTTGAAAAGAAAATGAGTTTATTGAGACTTTTCAAGATATTTTTTAAAAAACATGGATTTTGTTTAATTTGCATTATTTTTATTTATTAGTCTGGCTATGTAGTTTAGTTCAATCACTTGTAATTACTTGATATGCAACAGTATCAAATTTGTAAAAAAGTATTAAGTTTGTAACATCAAAATATGAAAGATTTTTTAAAGGTACTTTGCTAAACTTAATGTATTTAATTTATTACTATAATATTTTGGTAGCATAACTTGTCACAATAGCAGATCATGAATTTCCTTTCAGATATGAAATCATAATATCTGTTCTAGTGTTTATAAAACCTCTTTGTTGAATTGATATAGAATTAGTTCTTTACATCTAATTTTTGCACTGCAGCCTGGAATGACACCACTAGTTTTGGTCATGAAGTGGCCTGAAACTTGTACAAAAATCTACTGAAAATAAAAAAATAAAACATCATTAACCCTATGTGCATAGCATTGGTCCATTGGACCAACCCTATTTTTGTGAAGCTATCTATACATAGAAACATTTTCAATAAGTCTGAATTTACTACATGTATCTTCACAAAATGTGGCAAGCTTTTAGTAAACATTCAATTCTGTTGTATGTGAAATATCAGAATCTTTAATAAAGTATTTCTTCTGAAGATCTGTTTATGTATTTGCAAAGGTTTTAATGAGTCAGTTTGACTAGTGTAAGTGAAAGGTAATTTTTATGTTAAGAACTTTTTTATCTGAAAAATTTCAAATTTCATTTGCATAACTTCTAAAACTATTCTTTTTGAATATTTTGGTACAGTTATATTTTAGCTGTTATTTTCTTTAACACTAATGTAAGCAAAATCTTCAATGTACAGTAAAGTGAAAAGTTTAAAAATATGAGATAAATTGACAATATATTCTTTTTTTGGATGGATGAATTTTTAGCTGGGTTAACTCGTCATACGAGGTTGGTTGATGCGACTGACCTTGTAACCACAAAGTAACCATCAGAGTTTCTATACTGTAACTTTAATATGTTTTATGTATCTTCACGAAATTTGGCTAGCTTTCAGCAAACATTACTAATATTTTGTGCACAAAAAAAGACTTCTTAATTAAGTATTTTTACTAAAGATTTGTCTGTGAATATATGGAGTCAGAGTGACTGCTCTGAGTGCAAAGTGATTTAATATTCAGGTTAAAAATACTTTTCTTCATCTGAAAATTTCATTTGCATAAGCTCTAAAACCTAAATAAATATCAAACATTTTTTTACAGTAAAACTTTATATCTGAAATGTTACTTTCTCTACCCTAACTCTAAATGGTCTTGGTCAATTTGACACCTTGTAACCACCATAAAAAATACAAAATAAATTTAAATTACCATTTTTGTCTGCAGATTGTGACAGAAAACTACAATTATTTATCCTAAATAGCATAATATTCATAACAGACTACATCTGTTTATACTTATTGTTTTATTGCTCTAACTAATAATCACATCACACAAGTTGTAAATACAAAAGTTGTAAAGTCCTCATCGAGTTGCTTGCAAGCATACATCATGAGGAATTTTTATTATTTTTCATTATATTATCTAATCTAACCTAAATAGTTTTTAATTTTCCCATTTTAGTTTATTTTTATAACAATAAATAAAAAATATGCATGAAAAACAAGAAATATTGGACTTACCTTTGACCTCCTGTTTTTTGCTATCAGTTGCTGATGAAATTTAAGCCTACCTTTTTTTTATAATTTTGGTACTAATACACTAAATAATTTTCCTTTATTTATATGATGCACCTAAGAACAAAGTAAACAATATCCAATAACTATTATAATTTAACTGGCTTTCTAACTAACACAAGAGGGGCTTAAATTAATGCCCTTATGCTCCTTGGTCTGAACACTATGAGATAAATTTTCAAACTAAAGAAACAACTGACAATACTCTGCTGAAAACACTGTAGCATTATACATCATTCAATAGATTAAACCTTTGCCTTTCTATTGGTTATAAATGATATAGTATAAAACATCAGAGAGAATTATTGGCAATTTGTTAAAGAGAGGATGTAACTAACAGGTGAGCATGGCAAGTGGATTTAATTTTCTAGTTTATGACTCCATAAACAAATAATATTGAAGGCTATAAGAATTAGCCTTTGCTTTAGTACTAGCAACATTATAAACAGTAGTTTACTGTAAATTCTGTATTCAAGAGAGGGGTGGTAAATAAATCAGAGAAAGGGAAGACCTAGAGAACAAATATCACAATTCTGAATAGAAGAGATTGGGGATTTTTAAAATTATTTCCTTATAAAACTAAGAATCAAAACTTATATAATATTAAAATTTGATTTGTTAACTACGTTTTGACTCCAAGTTTATTTGTATATATTGATAATAAAGTAATTTAATTAAATTTTGAATGCAACTCTGTAAGATGTGACATACACACTTTGACGTGCCTATTACGAAAGAGTTAATGGTATTTGTATCTTCACAGTTCCAACTGTTAACCTTCTCACATCCATTTTACTTAATTTTATTGTTTCATTGCTGTAGTTTGTATCTACTCGAGTAGTAATTTTTCAGTCAAAGGCAATGAAATTAAAACAGTAGATTTTTAGCATGTATTGTAAACACCACGAATAAAATGTGTGACCCATAAAATCTTTGTGAGTACAAACAGTAACTGTGTTAGGCCTTACATTTTTTTGTTAAGCTACTTCAAGTAAATACTCATCTAGCTTTCAAATATGCGTTTTAAATAAAAATAATATATATTAACTATTCAAAAGTTGAGCATAACACTTATGAAAAGTTAATGGGCTTAAGAGTATCGTATCCTGCAGATGAGGTCATATTACTTTCTTCAAGTTGACTTTACCTATAAATTTAAGTTGGCCAATGCACAGAAGCTCATTATAAATAGGGGACTAAGGATGGTCAAGTAAGAAAAAAAGAAAAGAAATTGCAATTAGAACCTTTTTCAGTGTAATTAAATTTCAGTGGGTGCTTTATTAGTAGTCTGTAATACTCTGAAGAGATCATTTTATACATTTGATTTACCATAACATAATGTAATGCAAGTGTCATATGCCTTGGAAACAAATTCTTGACACCAGATAACTGAGCTCAACATCTGCCAAAAAATGATTACTGAACTTGAAGAAAATCTTGTATATTTGATTTACTATAACACAAAGTAATGCAAGTGTCAAAACACCTTGCAAACAAATTCTTGACACCAGATAACTGAGCTCAACATCTGCCAAAAAGAGGGTCTTTTGTGAACATTCATTCGCTAGAACACTTCTTTTCAATTCCTGTAAGGGTGTATACAGTTCAAGATTATATTCAGTTAAAAAGGTAAAACTCAGTTTATGTAAGTAACATGGATATCCTAAGACATAAAATTTTGATTGACAATACTATTAAAAGTCAAAGTAATTAAATAAAGTTAATATATTTCTGGCTACTAGTTGTGAGAACAGCCTGGTGGGTAGGGAGCTCAACTTGTAACCTGTTGTTGTGGGATTGAAACCTGCTTGTCCTTTAAGCTATAAGGGTGTTGTTATAGGATGGTTAATCCTATATTCAGTAGTAAAGAATAGCCCAAAAGTTGATGGCAGGCAGTATTGACTAGTTCTCTTTTCTCTACTTTATCAAATCAAACTTAAGGACAATTAGTGCAAGTATATATTCCTCAAATAGTTCAAAATTCACCTAAACCAACCCTATGCTACCAAAGATGTCATTTAAAACTAGTAACAGATAGAAAGAGTAAATGGAGAGAAATGTACATTTAGTTTCAGTTAATGTTTAGTATGCATGTATACAGCACTTTAATGAATATACCATCCTTTGAAGACTGAGTCCAGTTCTTATATGCTCTAATTCAGTAGTTTTAATATCATTACAGTAATGTTTTTGAAGTAGTATTTTCATAATTGCTGTTTTCTTTTATTTAAAGTTTGCAAATAAACTTTTAACAAAGCTAAGCAGCATGTGCCAAAGGAGTGGAAACAAAATCTAAAGTACCAAGTACAAAATTAAACTTAAGTGAAAAAAAGCATATCTCAGTCTTTTCCTTTATTTTTACTTCTGTTTATAAACATAGAACAGAGTGTAAAATTACTCAGAGAATGTAACTCCAACTCTCTTACTTTTTTGTTTTACTTTGAAATAACTAACCTAAAATGTACACCAACAGTTTACACCAAATAATTTATCTTCATATATGTATATATGAGTGCCAAGACCCTCTTTCTATCTGGATTCTTCCTGACTTTTGACTGTTTTTCAAAATCCCAATTTGCTACGATAGTAACAAAAATGTTTCAAAATTTGATATTTAATTTGAACTTGACTTTTGAGCTACATTCAAAAATGTGAAATCTGTCAGTTCTTGGGAGGCACACAACTTTTGTACCAAATTTATTTCAAATAAAGTAGATGAAAATGTCTTTCATAGTTATACTGTTAACACATACATGAAAAGTTAAAATGTTATCTCCATCATTTGACAGAAGGTAATAAAGCCAAAGCTGTAGAGGTATTGTTTTTATATTACGAAAATGTCATTTATAGAATTGCTTATGAATAAGCAAAGTAGTAATTTGCATTAAACACATTTTATATGAAGTGATTAATGGAAAACGTATATATATCTGATCTGTTCATTTTGTTAAATTGTAAATTAAGTTGATTATCTAAAATACATTTAAAATGTTAAGATTTTATGGAGTTGATGTTTGCTTTTGTGTAATTATACAATCAGAACTGTGCTTTAGAATGTTCTTTATATTTAACTGTTATTGTTTTTGAATTAGTGAAGCAGGGTTTCACTTTCATTACATGCAATAGTTTTAAATGTTGTTGGAAAGAATACAAGTGTTTGTCATCTTGTTTTTAGTTCTTTGCAAAGCTCAAACTGTCAGTATGAAAGCTTAGAAATAGAAAATGCTGCTGTTAAATGCATAAATATTCATATTTGTGAGAAAAAATTTTAAATTCATTGATGAAAAGGTTATTTTCTGATAGTATGCAGAAAGATTTTCATACCACCCGAGCTGCACAGTGACAAGCATGCTGCCATGAGACTTCACAATTGGAGGGAGGAAATCCTCTGCTTTGGCTTGTGCTAAACTCTTCTAGTGTTTAAATCAAATTGGAAAGATTTTACAGTTAAATGTCTTTGCTAGTAGTTATAGTTTCTCTTTGGGCAGTTGTGCTCCTTAAGGGTTTTTAATAGCTCTTGAAAAAGGTATTGGAAAAGTTTAGCTTTTCAGGTTTTTAATAATACTTGTAATGTTGAACTTTGCATTCTGAAGTACCTGGACGCCTGTGTTCCTAATAGTGCATACCAGGCTGCAGTGTAAAAACCACAAAATAGCATTTCAGATGTTAAAATTTTCTGTACCAATAGAGAACATTTCATGGATTAATTATATTTTGTTGATGCTTTAAAGACATGAAAAAATCATGTAGTTTTTGTTTTCTCCCTACTGCATTTCACACGAGGATTGCTGACAGGGGTAGGCCTTTTGAAAATTTCTTATTTTGCTTGGTGTTTTTGTGAGTTTTTGCATGAAAATGCGGAACTGGTTTGCATGTTGGGACACAAGGACTTAAGACTAGATATGTAATAATAGTTATTATTGAATGTTTTGTAGAGTGAACTATTTAAAAATATTTACTTCTTTAGTACTAATAAGTTGATCAGAAATATCTCAAAATTTTTCAAAATGTAGTTAGAAATAAGTAATTGTATAACATCTTAAAGTATGTTAATATTCAACTATTTTTTAAAAGAAGTATTGCAATTTCTTGAGTGATTTTGCTTTAAAACAACGTTTGGTTAAATAATTAAAAAAATGTGTTTGTTAAAAAAGAGTTGTTTGTCAATTTCTCAACAATGTTTTGAAGATTGTATATGCACAAAAGTCTTTGAATACTATCTGAGTGTATTAGGCTTTACTGTTGATTTCCTTTTAGGCTAGTCCAAATCCCTTAAGACCTAGCTGATTGTAAAAAGATGATTCTGGATCTTTTTAGAACCTGTTGCTATGTGTAACCCTGAGATATGTTTGTTTCAGTTATTCTCATATTTTGTTTCTGAGTGTAACATATGAAATAAGTGTTTGACATAAGGCTTTGGTGTTCCACACAGGGATTTAACATGATAAAACTGATACACAAGGCTTTGGTATAGACTGATCAATTCTAAGTATGTTTACTGTTGTTTCTGGTGTGTGTCATTATGAACTAATGAACTTTAAAATCATCAGTGACTGACATACATATAATAGAATATGTTTTATAATTGTATTCTGCTATTCTACTGAATATTGCATTGGTCCAATTTCTTCATAGAGATTGTGTTTAGAATTTAGTTTTTACAGGTTTGAACATGACTACTACAAGTTATGTGAAAGTAAACTGACCATTGAGGAACTCTTAAGTAGTGTCAAATGATGAATTATGGTTTTTCAACTTCCACTGATATGTGTATGTAAGAGCATTCATAAAAGTTCCCATTATAAAGGCTGAATATTATTTGAGGCTGTTAGATAATTTTTTAATTAAAACACTGAATATTTCGTAAGTCCTGCTTTAATATGGTTTATAAGCTCTCAGTAGTTTATATTGGCTAATAGTATGCTTAGAATCACCTTTCAAAGAGGGGTAAGAAGAACTAAGAAGATATTGTTCTTGGGCTTTTGTGCATTTATTCTTTTATTATAGTTTTCAAAAGTTACTGTGGAAATTTTTGATGGAATAGTGATGATCTTATCTTTTGTAAAGCATAGTAAAAGCTTGTTTTAAAGTTTAATAATTATACACTTGTAGTATTAATGGCAGGTATAGAAATGTAATAATTCTTTGAGGTTAACATACAACTTTGTGATTACTTTTTCATATAATTTAGTAAATGTCAAGTTTTTTCTTGTAACTTGCCATGCAAAGAGAAAGTTTGACATAACCATCTGTAAATTAGTGAATGCAGCTCAACCATTTCATTATCATTCTTCCTATAAGTATCTAATTGTAACTAACAATGAAAATATTATTTGCTCATGCCCCAAACTTTTAATAAGTTAGATTATGAATTTCATTCAGTGTTGTTTTTATGCAGACTTCATATTAATTTAAAATATATTCAATAATTTTCATTATGTCCTAACTTGAGGATGCATGAGATGATTGAGCAATTTTAAGCTTGTGGACCATGCAGAAAATATTACGTTTTAGTATACACATTTAGATCATTAGGTTATAAACTAGTGAGATCTACAGTAATTGGCATGTTTATAGAATAAATGACATGGAATAAAATTAATATTTTTGTTTAAAAATAATAGACAAGCAAAAAATTATGTTACGCTCAAGTAAACCTATAAAAACTATTTTGTTTTTAAAGTTTTTGAGAAAAATATTCCAATCCTGATAGATTAGGAAGTTTTGTGTAGAACTAAGATAACTAATAGTTTTCTTTAACATGTTAGCTTGATGTGTAACACTGAAATAATATATACTTTGTGAAACTAACATTATTGTATTTTTCAGTGTAGCTATTATGTGTTTCAGTGAATGTTGAAATGTATTTCAAAGTTTCAATAGATTGCCTTATATGCTATATGATAAGTAATACTGTATGAAGTATCAAGAGATTACATATTGTGAATAAATTTGTATTATGTTGGTTGGTATTAGACCTCAAACAATCTCCAAGTTACAAATAATATGTTTTCTTTCAGAAAATAATTTCATCATGGAAGAAGTGGAACAGAACTAACCCAGGACCTCCAACACGTATGCTGAATTCTGAACAAGCATTGTCTCATATTGAATCTACATTCAGAAGGCTTTCAGGGTCTGTATGTGGCCAGGACCCTCGGTAAGTCAAGCTGTCTTTGTTTTTACTATATAAATAAATAGCTATATGGTGAGAATGTCTGTGAATTATCAAGCATCACAAATAAACATCTTGTATTGGACATTGGGGTTGCAAACTCAAAAATATATCAGTGATATTGTACCTTTAAAAATTTTAAATCTTGCAATCTTCTTAGTAAGCACAATAAAGCTGGCAAGAAATATTTCGAGAATTCTTAAAAACTGTTATTGCTTTTAAACAACAACTCCTTTGTTATTCTTGCTACACCAACATTTTACTTTGAAATTATGAAAAATATTAAACCGACCAAGATAATAAACAGTCCATATTTATTACTTGTGTTTAAAAAAATATGTTAACCAAGAATTTGACATACATATTTATAAAAAAAGGGGTGTAAAACTTTATGTATGTATGCATGAAAATGTATATAAATGTTCTGTTTATTCAGTCCTAAAATGAATTTTGGGGTAATTTGGAATTTTGTTTTTATTTAAATTTCAGACATGATTTCATTACACTTTTTAAAAAATAAAATTGATGGATATATATATATATATATATATATAGTTTTTCCCTTAAATTTTCCACCTTTGTGAATCCCAAGATCCCACCCTATATAAACCTGAACTAAAAAAAATACTACAAAATATTGAAAAAAATGTAATATTACAATAAGCCTTAATGATAACATGAATTTAGCTTTTACTTTTTAAATATATGTATGGTAATTAATATAGCTGATTAAATATACAGTTTTTACATTAAAACACATTTGGGTATCCTCACTGTTAATGACATTTTCAGCTGTAAACCCAATAATATCTTTCATGGTTCATTCAGCTTAGGAGATTTAAGTTAGTCCTAAATCTATATGATAAGCTAATAGTGAAAAATAAATTCTATTACAAATACAAAATTATAGAAATAGATATTAAACATTCAACCAGTATTGTTATTGAAAGTAACAATGAAGTATACATTATTTACAAAACACGTAAACACCAGTTGTTAGCTTCAAGTACTGTCGTAGATTTAATATTCACAATTGGCAATATATTTAAAAAATTGTGTAACATCTAATACAGCTTAATTTCATCATATAGAAATAATATTGAGTGGTATGTGTTACTGTGGATAATCCAGAGTTTGTAAAAAAACAACTTATTGTTATGAAATACATAAAATTTTCCCATGTGGTTTAATATGTTTGTAATAGTTTGCCATAAAATTCTTCAAAAATCTAGTTTTGTACTAAATGAAAGACTCCAGTCTGCATTCTTCAAACTCTAGATAACACATTGTAAAAGTGTGTAATCTGTTTTTTTTTATAGATATCATTACATGATAAATGATAACAAGTCTTCATTTGCCCCTAACACTGTTGATCATAAAATTGTTAATGTTATAGAGATTTTGTCTGTTGCTGTGAAAAAGTTTGTACAAGTTTTTCAATGTTTATGTAATCATCTACTAATTAGTGTATTTAATTTTAAAAAAAAGCCATGTGCTAAGAACTTCAGTGTTTGCTGTATGGGAGAAAGAATGCCTGTGAATCACACAAAAAAAAAATGGGTTTACAAACTCAGAATATCCCAGTGTTACTAAACTACAAAAAAATCTTAATTTTGAGCTTTATAGTATTAAAGACAGTTGTTTTTTTATTGGGAGAGCAGTATAATATGTATTGCTCATAAAGGTTTTTTTCATGAAAATAAAATGAAGGCAAATGCTAGTTGTTATCACACCTGCAAGAAGTGTTAAGAATGAAAAATCATATGTTAGATATTTCAGTGAATCCTTTTTGAAATATAACTGTTACTGAAGTCAGATATGTTTGTGTGTGTGCATGTGTATATAATACTATATATAGTTAATGCAGATTTGCTTAGTTTAACATTTGTTATATGACAAATATATGCAGTAACTTTAAAAAAACTAATACTGTCATCTGGTGACATACACTGTAATCTTACACAGGTGCAGAATTATTATTTAACTAACAGAGACCCTCAAAACGTTTCCAGCCAAATTAATATCTTTATCGTAACAGTACGTCTTTAAATATAACATTTCTTGCACAATA